GGGGTGGCGGCGATGGAAGCGTTGGTAACGGGGGTGATGGTTTTGCTCAGACTCGCAACATATATGTGCTTTCTTCTTCTTTCTTTTCTTTCAAATCGCTCTTCCTCTCTTAGCCCTGTCTTTCTAACCTCCTGGCTTGTTGATTTAGAGCAGGGGTTTTCTTGACTTACTGGGCTGTACTCTAAGATACTGAAAAAAAAAGAAGTTTTGACTTAACCCAGCTGCGATTATGGATCTGTAATTTTGCTCTCTTCTCACTTTGTTTTTCCTCTTGTCTCTCTCTCTCTCTCCCTCTCCTTCCCCAGGCAGCCATTGTGGTGGTGTTTAATTTTGCCATGGTGCTGCTCATCTTCCCTGCCATCCTCAGCTTGGACCTCCACCGGCGCGAGGACAAACGCTTGGACATCCTCTGCTGCCTGTACAGCCCGTGCGCTGACCGCGTTATTCACCTCTCGCCGCATGAGCTGTCGGAAGCCAGCGAGCAGTCTCAGGCGCCCGGGGCGGGGACGGCGCATGCGCACCAGTATGCTGCAGGGCCGACAATTACCACCAGCACCCAAATCACCACAACCGTGCAAGCGTTCACGCAGTGCGACGCAGCGGGTCAGCATATCGTCACAATTCTGCCACCGACTTCGCAGATCTCCACAAGCTCTCCCTCCATCATTGTCTGCCCCACCGCACAGACTCAGGGTACATGAATCATTTGGAGTCACAATATAGGAAAGGATTAGTCATATTTAATACAAAACACTCTAACATTTGATATCTATATTTTATTCTCCCTAGCTGCATCACCTTCCCCAACCAGCACCTCTGTGCCAGAACACTACGGCTCCCAGCTCTTCACCCCGACCTCCAGCTCCACACGGGACCTCCTAGCCCAGGTGGAAGACTCCAAATCAGGGAAGGAGTGCGTCCCGCTCCCCTTCCTTCACTGGAACCTGTCCAAGTTCGCCCGGGAAAAGTACGCCCCCCTGCTCCTGAAGCCCAAGAGCAAAGTCGCAGTGGTGGTTCTCTTCCTGGGACTTCTCAGCCTCGGGCTGTACGGGACCACCATGGTGCATGACGGCCTCTACCTGACAGACATCGTGCCCCGCGACACCAAGGAGTACGACTTCATCGATGCGCAGTTCAAGTACTTCTCCTTCTACAACATGTACTTAGTGACGATGGACGGGTTCGACTACGCCCGATCTCAGAGGCTGCTGATTCAGCTGCACAACGCCTTCAACTCTGTCAAATACGTAGTCCGAGACGGCGACAACAAGCTGCCCCGCATGTGGCTGCACTACTTCCAGGACTGGCTGAACGGTAAAGAGCTTATAGTTTTTTTTAAAAATAAACTTTCCCCAGCCTCTTGAAGTTTTCTTTAAATGAAAAAAACTTTTTTTTTTCTTGTAGTTGGGTCTATTTTATAAGTGCAACATTTTGTGGCTGATTTCTTATCACCAGTTTTTGTGAAACCTCAGCCTGTTGTTTCCAACTCTTCCAATTCAGATTGCTCTTACAGAATTATAATAGAAGATAATCAAAGGTCTTTCATCTGTGAGGGGTCTTTACCTTTAATATAAGGACCATAACTAAAGTCACACCACACGAGTGAGAGAAGGTTTGCTATAAATTAGGGGCTTAATAATATTTGAAACAAAATAAGGATAAATTAATGATGCAATTTAGCATCTTGTGTTAGCGATTAGCATAATTGGAGTTGCTAGCGTCAATGTTTGTAAGCTGCCAACATGTCCAATTTAAAATTGTTCCTTAATATTCACCAGTTGAAAGTTTAAAAGGATAACATAGAGCATCTTTGTTGTACTTGTTCACGTGTTTTATATTTCCTTCCTGTTTTCTGTTGAAGTATCGGTCTCTCTCGCTTTCTTCCAGCCTGAATGAACCGCAGACACTTTACGTCGGTGTGATATATCTGACTTTATTTTTATGCACCTTGCTGATGCTAAAAATATACAACCTGTAGTTACACTTTTACAGAATACTCTAGTGTATTGTCATCATTACGACATGTTAGCTCTTAGATTTTTCGCTTTCGCTGACCAGAAAAAGACAAAAATAAACCAATTCTTCCACTTTTTGCTTTACTAAAGTCGTCTTGCGGTGAGCAGAGGGAGTGGGGTTGAGAATTTGCAAAGGGTGAGCGAAAGTTCAGTCATACTATCCACCCCCCTCCACCTGGACTCATGGGTGGCGTAGTCGATAGGTTGAGGTCATGGGTTATCTTTGCATGCATGTGTACATTTGTGTGTGTGTGGGTGTCCTTAGGTTATAACGTGTCAAAGGCCCAGTCAAGAGGAAGTAATAGTTAACAGGTCAATCAGGGCCAACTGTGGGGGGGGGGGGGGGGAGGAAACATGAGCTTTCACATTTTCACTGTCACCTCATACAAAGAGAAACATCTGGAAAAACTTTCTGCTTTTATGGTTATAAGAATCAAGGCATTTCCAAGTAATATCCACAATAATTCTTCCTTTTTGTGTGTTTTTACCTCACGCGTAGGTCTCCAGGCTGCTTTTGATGCTGACTGGCAGACGGGCCGGATTACAGCTGACAGCTACAGGAATGGCACCGAAGATGGAGCTCTGGCGTACAAGCTGCTCATCCAGACAGGCTCCAAGAAAGAGCCTTTCAACCGCAGCCAGGTACCTCAAAACTGATAACCAGATGTCACTGTCCTGGTCTAGCCTGTTGCCCCGGGGAAAATTAATGCATGGATCTTTCTTTAGCTGACTTCTCGCCGGCTGGTGGATGCCGAGGGTTTGATCCCCCCGGAGGTGTTTTACATTTACCTGACCGTGTGGGTCAGTAATGATCCCCTGGGCTATGCCGCGTCCCAGGCCAACTTCTACCCTCACCCCAGAGAGTGGAATCATGACAAGTATGACACCACAGGAGAAAATCTGCGCAGTAAGTGTTTTATTTAATTTATTTATTTTTTTTAAAACGAGTAATTTTTTGCACGTACGTCTCTCAGTAGAGACGACAAAATAATCTTTTCCTCTGTTCAGTCCCCTCAGCGGAACCCCTGGAGTTCGCTCAGTTTCCCTTCTACCTGAACGGCCTTCGGCAGGCTAGTGACTTCGTGGAGGCCATCGAGAGCGTGCGTGCCATTTGTGATGAGTTCAGCCGCAAGGGCGTGCTCAACTACCCTAACGGTTACCCCTTCCTGTTCTGGGAACAGTACATCGGCCTCCGTCACTGGTTCCTGCTGTCAATTAGCGTTGTGCTGGCCTGTACCTTCCTGGTATGCGCCATTCTCCTGCTCAACCCCTGGACGGCTGGCATCATTGTAAGTCCTGCCCCTCCACCGCTTATTTGCCTCGTCTTTCCATCACTCATCCATTCTGCCATTTCCCAGTTCTGTCCTAAAGATCATTACCATCTTCCTTCCTCCACTCTTCATTTTTCTTTCTTTTCACTCCTCTCAGCATAGCTCGCCAACGCTGTCTAGGGGCCCTTGTTTGTCTCTGCAGAGGGTCACTCTCTCACACACAGAGACATTGTCATTCTAGCATAGGTTTGCTTCGCCTCAGAAAAAAAAAAAAAAGGAAATGCAAAACAGTCAAAACAGCCTTTAGCCTCCTGAAGCCTGTACTTCAAGCCCACTTGCTGTTTTGGTCAAAGGGAGAAGGAGAGACACAGGAAGAGAGCAGATCGGTCCAGTTGTAACCTAACCTTGGCCTGCTCAAGTCATCCATCAGAAAATATATATATATATATATATATATATATATATATATATATATATATATATATATATATATATATATATATATATATATGGGCGCATCTTCATGTGATTTGGAGAGAAACATCCCTAATACATGCACACACATACATTAAAAACACGTATGGTGATGAACTCCGTAAGGCAACAATTGGGTTTGTCTGTAGATAGTATGTTATATTTAAAAGGCATTGCTTTAGTAGCTCTGATTGAGATTGGCAGGCAAGTATGATGCCAGCAGGTGACAAATCCTTCTTGCCTGTGTGCGGTTGAGCAATAAAAATGCTTTTATCATTTCCACTGTACCTCTGCCTAAGCTCGAGACTCATGCTGGGATCAAACGCTCCATCTTACCAGGCATATGTCTATTCTTTTTTTTTCTTTTTTTTAATCTATTTTCATATAGGGATACATCCAGTTTCCTCCGTTTCTGTGAATCTTTGACATTTAGTTGTTTTTTTCTAGTGATTCTTTATATTAGGAGCTGAGTTTGTGTCAAACTGGGTGTGTGACAGTGGGGTTTTGCAATAATAAAAAAAAAATATATATATATATAGCATTACTGTATGTACCTCCTAAAGAATGCAGATCCTCACCTCAACTCTTGAGATTTCTACAATGCTGATGTTTCTTAATCTAACAAATTCTGCAACATACAGAGTTTAAAAGCTCTGAAGGAACAGACCAAGTACTGTGCTTTGTTCAGCTCTCCTGTTAGTCTTGCTCTCTCTTGCTCTCTTGCAGCCTGGAGGATTTTATTTTTCTTTTAGTATGGCTTCAAACATTTCTATGACTTTATATTCAAACACTTTGCAGAATTAGTTGACTTTGAGTCTTCCTCCTATAGCAAAACTTTCCACATCCGATAGCTGTACAGTTAGCGTGAACTGGTAGACTGTTGTGTTCAATGGTCATAAAAGATTTGAAGTACTCTGAGTCATTTGCCCAGAGCTAGAAATTTGAATACGAGTACAGGGTCACAGTTTTGTAGCATGAGTGTACGAAAACGGTCAAGCCAGGCAAATGACGAATTACAAAATTACTGATAATTACCTCTTTCAAGGCCATTTTTTTGTTTGTTTCTTATTCTGTTCCCTCATTCTTAATTTTCTTCCACACCAGAGTCATAACTTTTCTTTGTGTGTGCGTTTCAGGTGTTTATCTTGGCCATGATGACGGTGGAGTTGTTTGGCATCATGGGCCTGATTGGCATCAAGCTCAGTGCCATTCCCGTGGTCATCCTGATCGCATCGGTGGGCATCGGCGTGGAGTTTACGGTTCACATTGCCCTGGTAGGTCTTCAGTCCGCAGCGGCTATCGGTGAAACGCTCGTTTTGCTTGAAACCTGTAAAATAAAAAAGATGGAAGAAATACTGAAAGGCCGGGCCTTTAATTTGTTCTCCACAAAGCCCACATCAGTTCAAAGCAGAGACTCCTGTAGTTTTATTTGTTAAATGGAAAGTAATGAAGGTGAAATGTTTGTGATTAAGGATTTATTTTGGCTTCCTCCCTTATGCTGGCAGACTTTTATTGTAGCACAGTGTGATGTTAAGCGCAGTAATCCAGCAGTTTTGTAGTCTGCCAAGCTTTGCCCGCCACAAACACATTTTGGATGATTGGAAAGATTTCCAACTTCTTCCTCTTCCCTCCCTTTCCCTCTTTTTTTTTTTTTTTTTTTTTTTTTTGGCCACAGGGCTTCCTGACAGCGATTGGCAACAGAAACAAGCGCTCAGCGGTGGCACTGGAACACATGTTCGCCCCAGTGGTTGATGGCGCAATCTCCACGTTGCTGGGTGTTCTCATGCTGGCGGGATCAGAGTTTGACTTCATCATGAGGTGAGATGGATGCGGGTGTTTTTGTTTCTCCTAACTGGCTTGCAAAGGGAAGCTTTCTTGGGTTGGGAGCTAAGGGCTTGATGCAGGTGGAAGTGTTTTCCTCTATATTTCTTCACACACACACATGCATGCAGACAGTGTCTACTACACAGCTGGTTCTGTCACTCCAGGAGGACACACACACACACACACACACACACACACACACACACACACACACACACACACACAGATCCCCAACTTCAGAATGCAACAAATGGGGAAAACATCAGTGTTGTGTAGCAGCTGCTTGTAAACATGGAAGCTTTCTGCTGCCCACTGGGTGGTGTCTCTCTCTGACTCCCTCGCTCTGTGTGTGTCTCTCTCTCTCTCTGACACACACACACACACACACACTTGGGGAATCTGTAAAAATTCCTATCATCCATTTGGCATTCTTTCCCTTCCATGTCGGATGCCGTAATAAAAACTGGAGCTAAATTTGAACTGGTCAGCCAGTCAGATGTTATGCAGCCCACCAACAGAGACTGCTCCTTCCGTCTCTGTTCTCAGTGCCTGTGCGTGTCTTGCGAGTGAAGTGTAAATCTTGTGCATGTGCGTCGTAATGCGTCCTTTTTCTTTCTTTCTTTCTTTCTTTTTTTTCTTTCTTTCTTGCACTTCATGGGCTAAGTGGAAAAAAAAAGCTGAATAGCTCCATGTTTTTCAGCAGAACGTGGTCTCGGCCCAAACCCGAAACCACAACCTTGAGCTCACAGACTGCAACAGGCCTCCGTGACATAAAAACAGCCAGTTTTTCTGAAGAAACTCATACAGAAGCAGAAGGAGAGGCAGGGAGTGGGAGTCTTGGGAGGGTTAGCTGACTTGCACGGATGTGTGGTTCTTATGGGTGGTTCAAATATAGTAAAGGGAACCTCCACAGAGATGGAGAACTGAAGTTATAAGCAAATCCGAGAAAACTAAAAGAAAAGGGGGAAAAAATCACTAGAAAGTGGTTGGCGTGCAACATATGGCCAGAGGACGGGAAGGGGTGAGGCAGACGGGCCGAGGCTCCGTTGGAGGTCTTGTTTAGCTGCAGTTGTATTTGGGCAAATGGGGTGAGGCAAAGCAGGCTAGCTGGGGAGCAGCATAAACATGCTGGTGTAAACATCTTCTGGCCTTGTAATGTGCTGAATACACAAACAAGCATGAATAGAGACTCTTCTCACCAGTTTCTCTCTCTCTCTCTTTTTTTTTATTTTTTATTTTTTTTTACAAACAGAAACACATATACCTTCATGTATGTACATGAATCCCTTTCCAGGCCTGACCACAACTGGAAAAGATTAGTTTGTGTAAGCCACTAAATTCCTGACAGTGACTGATGGGGGGGAGTGGGGGGTCTAGTTGTCTCTTTTTGTCTGTAAGTAAAGTAAAAAGTGTCACATAAAGGAGCCCGCTGTGGTATTTTGAATTCCATAATAGCTAGCTTCAGACTTCAATGGTCTAATATGATTTTGGTTTTATTTGAGGTTTTTAATCTTTCCTGAGAAGAAGAAGAAAAAAACGAGGACTTTACTTGTTGAATAGCAGTAATAATCATTTCAAGCGATTATGAAGAAGCGTCTTTCCATAACAACTCCACTGCTTTCCTTCTTTTTTTGTTGTTTTTTTTTTTTTTTCTCCCTTCACCTCGTGCCAACTTCATTATTTTTTCCCCCTCATTTCTTTCACCTCCTAAAGTCTGGCTTAGCAGACTTAAAGCATCTTACCGTCTCTCTCCCTTCGCGTTTTCTGTTAGTGTTTAAGTGGAGTCCTCTCTAATTTGCTCGGGGGAGCTCTTTCTTGTGGCGTGCCTCCACCCCTGGCCTCCCCGGAGCTCCGTCGAGATGCACGCACACATGCACAAAACAAGCACGCATGCAGTGGGAGCTGCAAAAAAAAAAAAAAAGAAGAAAAACAGAGCGAGAGGAGAAAGTTGTGCAGAAGCAGCACAAGAGGCATCAAAGCATGTTTAAGCTGAGTGGGGAGTCAGATTAGCCTCTCTCCCAACTCCTTTGATACACAAGCATTGGGTTTTCCCAGCCTTCCTTCCCTGAGCTACTTTTCTTCCTCATGTACAGCAGCTGTGCGTGTGTGTGTGTGTGTGTGTGTGTGTAAGTCATGCACACAGTGATCACGTGGTTTTAAGCTATGTGGTCTTGCTCATTTTTGTATAAGAGTCAAGGAAAAACTCAACTGATTAGATTAATAAAATTATTGATTTCAAATGAAATTACTTAGAGTTATCAAAAGTCTGGCTAAATAATGACGTGCGACAGCACGCAACGTTTGTCCAAGTAAAATAAGGTTTTACAGTTTTTTTTGTTTTTTTTTAAATAAAGATAAAATAATGAAATACTTTATACATGTTAGCCCGGCTAGCATTACAAAAACAGCTGTGTTTGTGTTTTTCCTTGTGAATCCTTACCTTTGCTCTGAGATTTCTGAAAGCCTGCCAACAGTGTTTGTTCCACGAGTGACAGAAGTTGAAAGCTTAGAAGGAAACAAAGGTAGAAAAAAAGCAACTGTGCTGTTATCCGAGGAATGACTCTCGCTCTCTCTCTCAGAAATGTCTTAATATATAGAAGTTTACATTAAAATAGCAACCTAGATTTTTGTGTTTCGTCTTACTTCGCTTTAACACCTCACTGATACTACAGTTAGCTATTTGTTGCATTTTTTTTTTTATTCCTTTGTAAGCACAATCCCGTAGCTGAGGTGTGTTCACTAATTTCTTGCTCCACAAGGATTTATAAGGACTACATGAGCTGAAAATTGTTAATTATATTTCTCTTTTTGATCTAATCAAAGCTCTACATCTGTTCATCTCGCAGGTATTTCTTTGCCGTCCTCGCCATTCTGACTGTTTTGGGGATGCTGAATGGCTTAGTTCTCCTCCCAGTCCTCCTCTCCATGCTGGGCCCTCCAGCTGAAGTCACCCCGGTTGACAGCGCCAGCTGCCTGCCGACACCTTCTCCCGAGCCGCCGCTGCCTCCTCCGATGGCCCACCACGGATACTTCACAGCCCACAACCATCCGCGCTCGCCGCGGCAGCAAGCGTTTTCCGAGTCGTCGGACTCGGAATACTACTCCGAGGTGACGACGACCTCTGGGATCGGGGAGGAGGACTATAAGTACTGTGACAGGAGCGCGTACCAAGCGTCGCACCAAGCGACCGCTCCTTCCACAACGTCTCACATACTGGTGGAAGCCAGCAAGAACCCAAGCTTCCCCAAACTAACGGTAAGCACCACGAGCGCACGAATCTTCAAAGATGTATGTGTAACTCCTCTTTAAGCTTGTATTTGTACTCGTGTGTAACATACAAATGTTGCATTTGTTTTAGGTGCTGAAGCCCTTTAGGGAAAACGCAGTCGGCGGGAGGGTTGAACCGTTATGTGAATCCAACCACAGTCTGCAACCACCTGTCGGCTCCCAGGTGACATGCTGGGACGGAAACAAGCGTGAGCAGCAGAGCGATCTCCAGAGACTGCAGGATCAGTCGCCTCAACGCTTACCCAGCGACAAAGCTCATTTTCCTGGGAGGACTTGTCACAGTGGCCCCAGGCTGCAGAACAGCAGAGGGCCTCAGCCAAACAGGACTAAAGGGCCGAGCTGCGGTCACAGCAACTCTTCCCTGCCAATGCAACAAGGTCCCGCTGGGGGCCCCGTCACCATGGTGACTGCTACGGCCTCCGTTACGGTGGCCGTGCACCCGACTTTACCGGGGACCGCCTATCAAGGCTACATGCATGAAGGTTTTGACATGGACAGCGAGTCGGACTGTTTTGAAGCTGCTAGAAGGACTTGTGGCGACAAAACAAAATACTCTTCGTGCAACAGAGACTCTCTAGAGCTCCTAGACTTGGAGGCGACGCAGGTCCAGGCGGAATATCAACTCGGCAAGTCACAAGGTGAGCCGGGTTCCTCTGCTGACCTTTTTAGCAAATCTATGAGACGTTTTGAAATGAGAGCTTTATTTGCTGACTGTTTGCTGTTTCCTCCTGTGTGCTGCAGGTGGGCAGAGGATCCAGGCATCTAAAGATTGCTAGAGACTCTCTCACTGTGAGTCTCTGGATCCCAGAAGCACCTCGACCTCCTCACTGTGTCTCAAACTCTTAACTGTACATAGACTTCACATGAAAAAAACAACAAAAAGAAACAAAAAACAGAGAAGATTCACATCAAGAACATGAAAAAATGAAATTACTTGTTTTAAGAGTTATATAAATCTATGAGTATATATATTTTAATACTAAAAAAAGAGGGAAGCTATTTAAAAGAGTACTGTATAACTTGGGTATACTCTTATGTAAGATGTAAAAGATTATTTTCATGTGGGGATGTGGATTCGTTTTCCGTCCCACTTTGTATAGAATAAGAAATGTTCTATGTGTTTTCACAAAAAGTGAGATTTTATTAAGGTATTAGAGTATTGAACGTACATGGTCAGTGTTTATTTCTATTTGTGTTATTTTGTTGTTGTTTTTTTCTTGCTGCTACATTTCCGATTTCTTTTCAGGCAATTTGTCTTAATAAGTGCAGTCCCCCAACCTATCCCACACCCCTTCCCTCCTCTTTTTTTATTTTATTTTTTTATTTTTCACAGTATTATACTATGAAATACTTCGTCATAAACAATCTGTTGGGTCCAAGTTCTTTGTCACAGGTTGCCGGGAATTACACAGCAGATACTGTTTCCTAACAGCAGTAACCATTGTGCCTTCAGTGTGTCCCCCCTTTTTCTCATTATCCCAGCAATTAAAGGTCAGTATTATGTTCTCCGTTTAGGCTCTAAAACCTTTTGAATCATTTAGCCGTCGTGCTGGAAAGCAACGCTCCTAACTCCAACTTTGTCTCAACATCCTCTGCAGTTTTAATCTACTTGAAGGAGCTCCGATAACTTATGTTAATTTTTTCAGCAGTTTGTGTAAGCTTGTTTATGTTTTTTTTTTTTTTTTTTTTTTGTGAGGGTGGGAGGTGAGGGTTTAGTCACTTTGTCGAAAAAGTGTTGTTCGCCTCGTCGAAAAGGGAATTTTAAAAATGCAAAGGGAGTTATTTTTATTTGATTCTTCCCCCCTTTTTGAGTAGCAACAGTGTCATGTTGTTTTGACTCTGAACTGGTTTAGTCGACCTTGGTGCCTCAACTCGTTTCGACTCACTTTCTACTCGTTTTGCTTCCCCCTCTTGGACTGAGAACAAGGCTTCAGTCGTTCAGTATTGGTCTCGTCACTGCCAGTTTAAACTGCAGGGATAAACATGCGGATCTATTGTCTTTGTCATGTTTCAAGCGGCAGCTTCTTCCGTTTTCTTACTCTTTGTAAATATGAAAGTTGAGTCGTCTAGCTACTGCAGTTGGGGAATTATGAAGCAAAAGCACCGCTTTCCAGTTCGAGCAGACCGCGTCAGACTCTGATGAGGGATGGGGGTCGAGAGCAAGGGGCTCTCGCGGTGGTTTGTAGTTTATTTCAAGAAAGATGTTAATGTCATGCCATATAAATTATTTATATTAAAATTTTTATTTTTGTAGTTTGTACAGATGTTAGTATCTAGACCGAAGTTCTATTTTTAAAGAGTAAATATATATTATATATAAATATATCTATTTGTTCCTGAGGTTTTGTTTTATTGTTTTGTTTTGTTTGCCTTTTTGGGGACTGGGGGGAGGGGATGACAACACATTGTGTGAATGTGTGCGTGTTTGCGTGTGTGTGTGTGCGTGTGTGCGAATCAAAGGGGGCAATTGGAGGACCATGAAGGAGAAGTTGTGTAGGAAAAAGTGACATCGTGTTTTTAAGTTTCCTCTTGGCCCTTTCTTCTTCATTGTCATTTTTTTAAGATGTTCATGTCCATGTCTGAAACACTGTGATTTCTGAAAACTATGCTCAAGAGAACCCATATGTGACCGTTATGTTCCCTCACCTGCTATAGAAATTAAACTAACAAAATAAATTGAATGAAAAACTGCTTTCTTGTCGGTTGCCCTTTGTGATGTCGTGGGTCAGCGCTGTTATCACAAGCAGTTCGATTTATCAGTGTTTGCTGGTTAGTCTCTTATCGAGGCACTTTGTTTTAATGGCTCTACAGGGATTCAGCTTTCAAGCTGATTGTGAGAAACCAACACAAAAATTGTGTAAGGAAATAAATGCAACATGATGCATGAATGCACAAATGCTAAATATTCGTAGCATTTGACATACTAGAAATCTAAAAATTGTGCTATGCATTTCTCTTCTGCCTGCATTACTCTTATGTTGCCTAAATGAAATCCAATGTTCAATTTGCCTTCAGAGATTACACGGGTGTAATCTAATCTCACCATAAGTGCACATTATTAAACGCAGCAATCGGTGATTTCATTTAGTAGAGTTTCCTTATTTGACTTATACTATTCCACAATTAAAAGTTACTCAATTGAATTTCATAGTATGGAAATTATACAGTTTTTTGTTATGAGTATTAACTTTACTCAGGATGAAGACAGATTTTCAAACGATAACGTCCAAATAACAGGCAGCATCCATCACACAAGAGTGAGTGACTCCTGAGAGAAAATACCATTTTAAATATAAAAGACTATTATAACTATAAACTATTTTTAAATGTATTTGATTAAAAATTGCATGTCAAAAACTATTGGAATTGGAACACTTCTCCACAAAAAAATCGTTTTTGGCATTGTAGCAATTGAGCCCTTCTTATAATAACTGTTTTTGGTTAAAAAAAAAAAAAGAATGAAAGAAAGAAAACAAATGGGCAAAATAGTCATGACGTTTTCTGCATCATTTAATGTACTGGGGGTAGCTCAATCAGTCAAGTGAAAAAAAATTACAGGAATCAAAAAAATGTTCTGCATTACAATATGCCAAAGAATACACTGTCTGCCCTGAAGAGAAACGATGCAACATTTAATGGATCAATCACAGGGATTTGTTCTTTTTGGGTCTGGAGGATCAACATTTCATCAAACAATCCCCCCAAGATTCTGAGTTCAATCCACAGTACAATGACATGTGGTGACTGAGGCATTTTTTTGCATTTCCATGCTTTGGAGATTTTATATATATATATATATATATATATATATATATATATATATATATATATATATATATATATATATATATATATATAAACTATAACATTAGACCTATTTATTACATACAAGGGATCACGGAACAATGTGAACTGTCGCCTCATGCCGAAGAGGAGTTGCATTTGAAAATGTTGTTTAAAAAGAGTCAGTGATCCCAAGCACACAAGTGAGTGAGCAGAATCGTGGTTCCAGACCAACAAGAGAATGTTATGTGGTGAAAAGTATAAATCAAGGACCGCCGTCTAATAGAGAACATAAAGCATGACATCAAACATTGTTTCTGAGGCAACGCCAAGTAATGCAAAGTAATTGTGAAATGCAATCATATCATTTTGGGCTAGAATAAATGTTCACAGTTGCCAAAGGTTGGTTGATTCTATCTATGTACCACATGTGAAACAGCTACAGGAAACGGTGTTTATGCAACTAAACATTAGCTAAGCGATTCACAGGTATAAACTAAATCTTAAAGCGTCTTTTTGCTTGCACAGCTCAATACTCCACCTTCTTCACTTTCTGTGGAGTGAGAACAGGTACAACAAATTATAATTTGAATTAGCAATTAACAGTTAATGTGAGATAAACAAAATTTGAAACTTGTTTCTTCCTCTCTTGCTTTGGAATAGAATGCGCAGTAATCCCACTCCATATGCATGAGGTGAAATTGTGTATTTTGCATGGAAACAAAAGCTATTTGGCAAAATGTTACAGCTTTTCATGACACAGTGCTGTTGCTACGGACAACATTTTATGTTTTTGTTTGTTCTATATCCATCTTACATAGTGTGTTTCTGTACAGTGCAAAGTAACATGAAACATCTCCACTAAGCATTAAATCTCTGCCACAGAAAGGATCTGGGATCACTTTTGATCCCTGACACAGAGAGTCTTCTTACTGTTACTGTTTTTTTTTTGTTTGTTTTTTTTTGTTTTTCAAACATGCAATGCAACCTCAAGCATTATAACCTTCAATATAATCTATTGAAGCTTAAGGCTAAGACTCATTTATGTGCCCCAGTCTCTAAAATCATATCTTAACTTGTGAAACACCAACCAGATTTATGTTTTATGCCCAAAAGTCTAGTCATCTTTCTGTTTTGGGATCTGATGGGCATAATTAAGCATTTCCTCCCCTCTGTGCCTTCTTATGCACAAGATACACTCACGCATACACACAAGCCCACCTGTGTAGATGAAAGGTAGACCCTGTAAATTCCTGTGCTTTCCACATAACGGCTCCTCGTTTGTCAGCTCAGGCAAAGCAGCCTATGTCTGAATCTGATACCTCAGTCCTTTGAAGTCGCTTTCATGTCCATTTACATCTCAACCAAAACAGTTTGCACACACTATTGCAATTTAAGCTAACAATACGGCACAGTGAAAGTGAAACGTTGACTTGCACATAGCTCACGCAGAAATGTTAAGAATATGCGATGCATTAATGAAAAATGCTTTCGATGGGGAAAGTTATGGTGAAGTCCATTAATGTCATGACTGAGTGGAAAAAAAAAAAAAACAGAGTTATTGTTCGTGGGTGAGACGAAGCCTTTATGGCTTAATTTTGTTTAGACACATTTAGCAATAGCTATAAAATACTTAAATGTTGCTGAAAGTATATCTACAGGCCAAGTTAAAATATAATCGATTGCTCACCTTTTATTATGATGCATCTACAAACCTTAATGAGTTCCTTTCTGCGAAGGACCACACAATGTGGCGCATAAATGTGAAGTTACAGCGTTATATGCTTTGCAAAACTTCAAAGTTCAACCAATTGTTGAACTTTGTCTTCACAAGTCACCACATGAAAACAATAAATAGACCTCATCTATGTTCTTTTGTTCCTTGGTATAAATGCAGCTGATCTGTGAAGGCCTTTGAGGTTTGTTAGAGAGCATTAGTGAACAAACAACATCATGAAAACCAAGGAACACGGCAGAAAAAACTATTACAGCTCATTACCCCGTATTAGCACTGCGAAACATGGCTATGACTGTATTATGCGGTGTGGCTGCGTTTCTCCTGAAGGAACCCGGGAAGTTTGTTGGAGTGGGTGAGAAGATGGGCAGAGCTAAATACAGGACAATCCTTAAATGACCATGTCGAAGGCTTCACCAATCAAATATTTAAGAGTAAACTTCAAATACTTCAAATACTCTGCATATCCAATCTGACTGAAAACAAAATCATTCTTAAAATGTGTAAAGCTAGTTAAGACATACTTCAAAAGTTTTGTAGTGTAAGCAAAAAGTGGCTCCATAAGGTGCTTTGTGTTGGACCATCACATAAAATACGAACAACATATTAGGAAAATAGGTGAAAAAGTTCATATTTCCTGAATACTTTTTGCAAAGACAAAGTGTGTGATTAGGCCCGCAGATGTATAGGATAATCCTTTTTGACATGTTGGTATTATCAACAATTTGGTTATTCTGTCATGCAGCAACCTGGCTGTTTTCTATTAGTCAGATGTTTTACATATTCTCACCCCAAGTTAAACATTTAACAAGATAAAACAAAGACAATGACCACAGGGGCCTTGAGCAAATAAGTGGGAGCAGCTGTAATCCAACGTTAGGCAGAATTGGAAAAGCATTTTCCTTTCAAAAAAAAAAAAAAAAAAAAAAAACCACAGCTGACTTTTGTTAGCATTGTCAACAAAGGGGTGATGTGTCTTAATATTAAACACACATCTCCAAATAGTCAATTTGTTCCTTGTATTAGAAAAACAAAACACAGGAAAATGAAATGGAGGCACCCAGACAGAGTGGTTCAAATGGGACAAAACTGAAGATGTTTAAAAGAAAGCACATAATGCTTGTTTATATTACACCATTCATATTTTTTTTTTAAATCACATAGTAATTCACCTCAAAATGTAAAAAATACAATAAGGGAAAACAAAAATATATAGATAAAAAATAATTTCAAATGAAGAAAACTTTGTTTTTGTTGTTTTTGCTTTATAGAATCAAAATTGTCAACACAGTGTAAAGACGAGTATTCCTCATTTGAAATGTTGCTGCTTAACAAGAGTAACATCCACAGCTTTTTAAAACGAGTCAGAGCAACAGACAAGCAACAGTGTCTGGTATCCCCCAAAAGTTAATACCAAGATTTTTAAATTAATTCCCAAATTGACAAGTAATCAGCAGAGAGCAGGTCATGAGCCAGGTATGTTCTTATATTATTTCCAGTCAGGAGAGTTGGTATATAGTATTTCACACCATCTGGAGACAATCAAGAGCCTTTCTATTTAGAGAGATTCACATCTGTTACAGTAATCTAAATGAGAACAAATAAAAGCACGGATGATAATCTCTTGTTTTGGCGCCAAGATTCTCACTCTAGAAAAAAAAAAAATCTAAAGTTAAAGAAACCACATGGAGACATGTAGGCTGATCAAACAAAAGCGTTCAGTTTCTTAGAATGATTTCTGAAGTCATGCTGTCAGTAGCAACGATTAAACACAATGTCTTCAGATTTTAAGTGATTACAACTGGACGTTAATTGTGTGTTACTGCGCTGAGAGACGTTGAATTTCTTTATTATTTCTGAAAAGCAAGTGCGTAAAGCAGGACCAGTGTTGGCCCTAAAGCAGAGCTCTGAGTGACTCCACATCGTATCCGAAGTGATCCGGTTGAGGAGAACGCTGAAGGTTCACGGAAACATCAGGGAAGTTGAAACATTTGCACAGCGCTGTACATCAGCAAAGCAGTTGTGTTACTGCAACAAAATTGCTTTAGATGAGAAGATAAGCAGCCTGACTTCCTCCAAACTGTGTGGTATGTATGTCTCCCTGAATGTCTGCTTTCTCCTTCGCTGCACAGCTAATTCCTCCATTCTTTTGTGCTGCACCCAGTGCGAAGGTAGAAACACATACACCACCCCCTGCCTCACAAACACACATGCCAGTGCATGTTTTAGCCACACACAAACACTTTTCTTTGCTAATCAGCTCTATTGAATTCCTGCAACAATGGGCGCTCATCCTCTGGCCACCCAAGCTGTGCACATATGCACACACACGCACGCACGCACACGCACACACAAACCAGCATGACCAGATCATGAGATCAGACTTTTGTTCCTTCGGCATGTTTTCTCTTCCTCCAGCGGTCTCACCTTCACACTCAGGTCAGGAGCTGGCACAGCGAGATCATGTTATCTGGGCTATCAGCTCCTATCTGGGCCCACACACTGCTCTCACACCCACAGAGGAGGAGAAGGAGCCTGTTTAACTTCTCTCACATTTACTGGCTCTGTGTCACAGAGAAGGAGGTTTCATGTCGAACAAAACAAAAGAAAAAAAAAAGAAGAAGATTTCCAATGTAGACATAGTAAAGTACCTTCTGCTATCAATATTACTGCTTTTTTAACGTTTCTTGCTCAATCTTTGATTGTTTCTATCAATTGAAAAAAGATGTGTGACAATTTGTAACAGATAAGTGTGGGAGCAAAGTGAAATGCAGCAATGCTGGATCTCAGTTTTTCAACCTCGGCTAAGAGAAATTAAAACTAGTAACAAAAGTTAGGAGAGGTGTTATTTTCATACTAATGTGAGAAAAGGCATATAAAAGATCTATCAAACAAAGGTATCAGTCAGTGTAATGCACTCCCATTACCAGAATTCAAGAAGAAATCTACTAGACTGGTTTTATTTGACCGTTATGGTCTAATAAGACTAAATTTGATCTTTCAGGCTGCAGTTTCATATGTTGTATTTGGTACACACTACGACACCAATAGAACACAGTAAAGGATGGTGGTGGCAGCATCTGTTTTTTTGGTTTATTACCGTTACTTTTCCACAGGTTAAAAGTAATCAAATGTGAGTGTCTTTGGTAATACAGTCCCCTCAACATTTGTCCACACCCCTTCTGAAGACACAAGAAAAATCAAAACAAATGAATTCAAATAACACCAACATACTTTTTTTTTTCATGCTACGGCGTTTTTTCTACGTCGTTTCTCGACCATTTGATTTGAATACTTAAACTCAAGCAGTTGGAAGGGCCTGTGAGATTTAGCTGTTAGCGCAGCTAATGATGTTTCGGTCTCTGCAGACCATGCATGAAAGGGGTTTTGAGATGTCGCAACGCTTCCCAACATTTTCCCTCGGAGATGTAAAAATCGTTATTAACAATCCGCTGTCATGTTCATTTACTTACATAAGCACTTTCCATCCCGAGCCCTGTTCTCAAACAGAGCATGCTCTGTGAAGCCTTGACTTCTTTTGCTGCTCCGTGTATTTATATGTGTTCCATGTGATGTGATTGCTGGCTGCGCCGGGTTTGTTGCTCCAGCTTGCTCCTTCTAATCATCTCTCACTGAAACAGAGGAAGAACGAGATCAATATTTACCCCAAGCTCTCTTCGACATAACAAATGTGTTTGTAATCTATGCCCAGCATGCGTGCGTGCGTGCGTGCGTGTATGCGTGTGTGCATGCGCGCGCACGTGTTTGTGTGTGAGGACGTGTTTGGTATACCTTGGCCGTGACCAGGCCTGTCGAGGGGTGGCAGGAGGAGAAAGAGGAGGAAGAGGAGGAGAAGGAGGAGGAGGAGGGATGTGAAGTTCCAGGCAATCATGCAGACAGGCGGTAGGGCCCGTATAGTGTAAACATGTTTTAAATAAACAGGAACAGCGTAATGCCCTTTTAATTGATTCATTCTGTGCTTTGCTGTTTACAGAAGGGCCTAAATATGAGCCTCACAAGGCAGAGGCCTTGTGTTTATAAGTGGTTTGTTTGGCTCAAACAATAACAGTTCGAACACCAGATGTAGCTGTGGATCAGTCGTGATGTGTTGCGCCGGAGCACTACACGATTTGAAGTTCCCGTTTCGTCTTCCTCCCCGTCTCCCTGTCTTTGTCCGTGTGGGCTCCGGCGTGAGGGGTTCAGAGTTAGGCTGGAATAAAGACGCAACAGCAGCTCAGCAGTCTTCAGCCAGCGCACGTTGGCGTGTGTGTGTGTGTGTGTGTGTGTGTGTGAGCGCGGGTGCGTGTATGCATGCGTGCCTGTGTGTGAGTGAAGTTTAAATTGCAGCCACAGTGTAATGATATGGTGGTATGGCATTGAGGGGTGCTCCAGAGGGAGGGCGGGGGTTGGTAATTAAACATATGCAGACACAGACACTTACAGAGGGCAGGAGACACACACAGAGGGGGAGAAAGAAAGCAAAACTAAACACATCCAAGTGGGGTAGTAAAAGCTAATGAAAGCTCAGTGCTAGGTTGGCACAGACGGCCATTTCATGTGGTGAAGAGGAGAGGAGGAGGCAGAGCAGAGGAGGAGGAGGACTGGGACAGGCTGGGGAGCAATAAGGCGAAGGCTCCTTCAGAAAGTTGGGCAAACCAGAGGATAAACTTTAATTGACACCATGGCTTTTTTTTTTTTCCAATATCGTTTCTCTCTGCTGCTGCCAAATTATTGTTTAGGATAAGGCGAGCAATAACATTAACACGTTTGAGTGCAATAACAGTAAAAGCTAATAGTACAGTGAGAGGAGCTTGTACTTACTGAAGCAACTAGTTTTTATCTAATTAATCAGGATGAAAGCAAAGTTGAAATTGTACCGGGGAGCCGCAGTGCCTTGCAGACGTCATCACGCAGGTTGAGCCGTTGGACTTTTCATCACGTTACAGCCACAAGCGTTAATGGGTTTTATTACAGCTGTATGTGACACATCAACGCAAAGTGATGCATAATAGTGAAGGGGAAGAAAACTGATCCAGTGTATTAAGGTTTATTTTGCAGGTAAAAGTCTGAAAAGTGTGGCGTGTAGATTAATGCAGACTTTCGGGGTTGTAGAGGTCTAGAGACTCAAACGTTTTGAGCAATCTTCTATGCTGAATAGCGTAAGCCCACTAAGACTGCTTCAAGAGTGTCTGTAAACAGAATTTTTAGAGCCCAGCTACAGTTTCTTTTTTGGATTTAGGTCTGGACTTAGATTGGGACATTCTAATAAATGAGTTGTACGCTATAATTCCTCCAGATTCATTCTAGTAGGCTAAACTTTTGTCAAGTATTTTGTCTTTCTGCACTGCATGACAAGGTGTAAGTTATGAGGCTCAACCTTCAAGCCAAAGCAGGTGAATAATTCATCACTTATGCGCAGCCATTCAATTACATTGTTTAAATGAAGTTTTTGGGGGCTACAGTCAGTGTTTTTTTGTTTTTTTTTGTTTGTCACTGCAGACAAAAAAACATCTGCTTGATGTGTGATGACACAATGTGGATTCTCTGTTCAGCTGGTTTGAATTGAATATTAATTACATTGTGTGAAAATGAAATGCAATGTCAATGAAGTGTCATTATTAACCTTTTTAAGAATTGATGGAGAAAATAGACTGTTTTTTTTTTTGTTTGTTTGTTTGTTTTTTACCCCATCGGTCAAAATCACACCTGAACAAAAATGTCTACTACAACCCCGGGTGCCAATGCAGAAAAAAACGGAGACCTAACAGCATAATCCTGCCACCACCATGTTTGTTGTTGCCTACTTCTCAGATTAATGCTTCCCCAGTCCAGTTTTATAGCTTAGATGGTAGATTTGGAAGGTTTACAGTAGCACCATGATCTTTGTGGATGTGGATGACCTGAAAAGCAATCATCGAGGTATTCAAAATAATACAAATAAAAAGCACAATTTATTTTCTTTTCATCTCATAACCGTGCTTGCCTTCGTATTGGGCAAATTAAAACAGATTGGAGTTAGTGGATGTCATGTGACAAAATGTGAAAAGGCTCAAATATTTCTGCAAGACATTGTAACTTATTATTTCCTCAGCAGTGACATATTTTGTCAATATGTTTTTATTTTAAATCCATGCACAGAGAATAGAACGGAATGGTATAAGTGATCCCACAGCTTCAAACATCAAATGTGTCTAGAACAAATTGTTTTGTCTTTAAATGTTGACTTGTTACAGGGCTTTGGCCATTCCTTTCGCCAAAAAAACAAAATGCCCTTTAACATGTTAATATTTTAGTTTTGGGCTTTGGTGAAACAGGAAAATGACTGGTTAGGCAGGCATTTTTGCAGTGTGCCCTAATGCTGTGGTTTTGGGAGAGGGCTATAAAACTGAACTGGTGGTGTAAGTTTTTCTTTGAAAACTCTGGGCTCCACATGTTGAGGATCTCTCTACAATGCAAGTAAACATCTGATTTCTCTGTTGAGTTCCTGTAAAAGAAAACGCTGGGAGGTGGGGAAAGAAACACTGGTGGGTTTTGAGGATTAATTTCAAAAGCACACTGACACATTGGCGTTTCTATTCAGGGTTTGTGGTTTCGATTGGTGTTCCCTTTTAAGAGGCCATGCCTGGGCTGCTGGGTTTCTATCTTTACGGTTCACATAAAGGAACTGATTGAATTCAAGAATAGAGTTTATAGGCTAATTTCACAGTCATGGCTCAGCCCTTGTTTCTAATGCATTTAATTTTGTCACAGGACAGGTTCAGATTATGTTTAGGCTGAAAGTGTGCTTACTTAGTGTTTTCTGTGGCGTGACCCACTCAGCTCCCTCAGCTTAGAGTGAAAACTGACGAAGACGAAGCGGGAAATTGTGACTGACAGAGCGGCCCTGTGGACTAGTTACTGACCAAATGGAGAAACAGAGGAACCCTGAGCTGCACAGGACACATGTGTGTGAGGCTGCGGGAAGCAAAGCTTTGACATTAATTGTATTTCACTACTGCAGCTCACAAACCATAATCCCCACCCCCTCCTTTCCCAAATCCTTACAGTGTACCTCAAAGAAAGAACAATTTTAATAATTGCCTCGACTATAACTTCAAGATCTATCCCTCCTATGGTTTAATTTCTCTATATTTAAAAAGGATCTGACTTTTTCATGTGGGTATCTAAATAGCACTTTTGAGAAGCTTTTATGTAACTCTTTATTCACCCAATGCAACTAAACACCTCAGGGTGAAGAAAGAAATCTGCTGAGTTTTTAACACTTGTTGATTTTTTTTGAAAGTCAGACAGAGATACGTTTTAAAAATGTCATTTTATTTCTTAATATTTTAGCAGCTCTGTTACGCATATTTCCCAGTCGTTTCATGAGGGCATAGAAAAACCCGTGTAACATCACTGGTATCAAATAGTCATCAGGTCTGAAGCCATTTGTGTTTCTGCTAGACATACTTAGTTCTTTAAGAGGACATGGCTCATTGCTCTGGGCAACGTAGTCTTGGGGTGGCACAAGTACACGGGGAAACAAAAACATTGTGTGAGCTGTAGTAACCCAAACGAGTTTCCCATCAACAATTAGCATGTGCAGTCCATCTGGCATTTACGCCCCATGCTGGGCAAAGTTAAGCACTCTCAGAAGATATGACTAAGCTGACAGATGATGATGCTTAGGTTGGTATCTGATTTTCAGCTTCGACTTGGTGCTCAGTTAAAGGTCTATTTCACTGGTTTTCAAAGAATCAATAACTGCATTTGATAATTTGCACTTCAAAAAAATAAACTACTCAGACTGATTAAACTTCAACTAGACTGACTTACATTTAACAGTGAATTATTTAAAACAGAGTTTGAGTTCCATCAAAGTTTTGATTAATTAGGGTGAAATAAAGTATTGTCTATATCTCCATATGTTTATGTATCTATGGATCCAGCTACTGTAAATAATTGGACTGAGTGTCAAAGAGATTATTATAATCCGTTTCTTATCAATGAGGTAAATTGTCTCCATTGGGGGATAGTGTTTGATGGATGAAGAGGTAAATATGGGGAAAAGAAGGCCAATTCAAAGACTGGTTACCACTCCTGCTAACTACCACGGCTTATTTTGCCTCTGCTCCTCCTTGGTCAAATTTTATTGACATTCTTGTATGTATTATGGACATGCCTACTTTTTACGCTAGATGTTCAAATGTGCTGAAGAAATAACAAAGATCTACTATAGGCAAGATTTCTACTTCATAAAGTGCAATCAATAAGACAATGCAGGTGTCTTTACACAGATCTAAATCTGGTGAAGCAAGAAAAAACATGTTTTCCTATTTTTACGTTTGAATGTCATTCTGCTATCCATCTAATCTCGACTCTCTGTGGTAAAGTTATGCCTTCTCGTCCTTTAAATGCTTGCCTTAAGTTTTCCTCATAATTCAAAGACATATCAGTCTTGTCTAAGAGCTTCAAATCAGCCCAGAGGGACCAGGAACCATGGATTTACAATTCATAAAACCACTGTGTGATAAAAGTAGGTATCTGTAAATCGTGTGTAATGCCCAGTAACTACTGTAAACAATTATTCTTTTATTGCAGTGCTGGAATCAAGCTGCATCAATTTGCAGCAATAAAACAAGGTTTCTCTTTCTGTATATATTGCATAATTTACCTTTTACACTTGGTTTAAAACCAGTTACAAGGACCTTTGGACTAATACTGGAGTGTACCCCTGACTATGGTGCTCTAAAAAGATA